GCTAGAAGACCCCGACTGAGAGCGTCGCCCCGACCCCCGATCTTCTGTGGAGGGGTGCGGGTTGCAACGCTCTGTTGTTTTTTTTTTTTGAGGATGGCGATATGAGGAGCTTGACGGCTTGGGCTGCTTCCGCTCAGCTGCCCCACCCCTGAGCAGGTCAGCCTGGTATGCTTGTAACACCGCCATGGTGTGCAAACATGCGCCAGCCTCGGACAGACAACAGTAAATAGACAGACACATACACAGAGCGCTACTGAAGAGCAGAAGCTGGTTTGCGCTTTGCCGGATGCGCTTTTATACTTTCTGGTGCTTACGTCACCCCGCTCGTGACGTCTCGCTACTCCATTGGACTGATTTGACACGTGCTTCAGAGCGCGGTCACGCAGGGGCGTTCCCAAAGCGATTTCGACGCAGCTCAAGTTCCTGAAGGGGAACATTAGGACATTAAGTAAAGATCATGTTCCATTAAGATATTTTGTAAATTTCCTACTGTAAATATATAAAAACTTAATTTTTGATTAGTAATATGCATTTCTAAGAACTTAATTTGGACAACTTTAAAGGCGATTTTCTCAATATTTAGATTTTTTTGCACCCTCAGATTCCAGATATTCAAATAGTTGTATCTCGGCCAAATATTGTCGTATCCTAACAAACCACACATCAATGGAAAGCTTATTTATTCAGCGTTCAGATGATGTATACATCTCAATTTCGAAAAATTGACCCTTATGACTGGTTTTGTGGTCCAGGGTCACAAATGACTTACAATAGAGGCGCATAAGCGATTTGAAACCGAGCCAAACATATTCACAGTATGCAAAGTTTTACAGAAAGCTAGATTAGGAAACAAGCTGTAGCAGAGGAGAAACGGAGAGAAGAGAAAGAAGAAGATGTTTTTCTTTTTTTTGCAGTTGCTTTGTTTTAAGTTTGTGGAGTAGTGGCGGAAAAGGTGTGTCTTCAGCTTTTTTGAAAGTTTCGATGGTTTCAGCAGTTCAGGTGGAGGTAAACAGCTCATTCTAACAGAGAGGAGTGGAGAGGGTGAAGGTTTTGGAAAGTGACTTTGTGCCTCATTGTGAAGGAACAACAAGGCACTCATTCAATGACTATAGCTGGCTGGGAGGAATAAATAGGATTCATACAAATTTGAAACATGAATGAATTAGAAATTGTGCCATAAACAGTATGCCAGGTCGAGTGCATGCTGCCTTTATAGAAAAAAGGGGCATGTAAAACATTTTGAGGAATTATTATTATTATTTTAGTTAAAATTATTATTTTTTTTTATATAAAAAATGGATAAATATTACAAATAAATATAAAATAAATTACTGGTAATATAACATATTGGTTACATATATTAATTGGTTAACATAACTTATTTAGCATTTTTCTAAATTATTACATTTTTAAATTACAAATTATAAGCATTTTTACCAAGTGATCTCAGACATTTGTATCCCTGCTCTTTCTCTTTATTTATGATTTTGCAGTAGTTTTTTTGGTACATATACAAATACTATTTCATATTTTCCTTCATACGTTGTTTAGGCTGACGTCGAGGACATGTTAGACCTAATAGATCTCCGACATGAAGTGATGGAGAAAGTTGATGAAGTCATGAAGAAAGCCTTGCAATACCAGGACACACTTATCCGCTACAGTCCCCTGTGGCTTGATGACAGGGTTGAATTTCTCAGGCAGTTCCTCCTCTATGGTCATGCACTGACAGCTGAAGAGGTGGAAGCCTATGGAGAAGATGCATTTCCAGAAAATCCTCCCACCACAACACAATTCAAGGAACAGGTGAAACTATACAGCTTTTAATGTTTCTTCTTGTATATCAGGTTTTGAACACAGTATTAATTCGGCATTAAATACATCTAAATGGATATAGATACCTGTTTTCCGGTAGTAGTAAGAAACGTTTGTCATATTAATAGTAAGTTGTCTCCTTTCACAACAGATGAATCATTACGAAGAAGTGTATGCAGAGGTCAGCCGTTTGGAGGACTGGCAGGTGCTTGACGGTTGGTTTAGAGTGGATATCCGTTCGTTCAAGATGAGTCTTTTAAACATAATAAAAAAATGGAGCTGGATGTTTAAAGAGCACCTGATGTCTTATGTTACCGGCAGGTGAGAGCCTCTTCCGTAATTACCTAGAAAAATCACTTTTTAAATGCAATTTCAAATTTTCCTTTCTCTTTGGAGTGTTACAAGCTGTTCGTGCATAGATAAGATCCCTAAAGTTGCAAAGACTAAACCTGCAGAGTAGCCTAAAATGCGTCTGTGCACAAAGGCTGTTTCTATAAAGTGGGGCAGTTCCAACTTTGCAAGGACAATCTGGCACTTCTGACTCACAGCCTGTAAGTACATTTTTTATATTTAAAGAATTTGAATATTCAAATATCCACTGACGATTCAAACGCGAGTTTTGAGCAGTGTAGAGTAGCGCTTGTTGTTTGTCGTTTCTCCGATCACAAATGCA